AAATAAATAAGTTTGTGGTAAGTAGATCATTTTGGAGCTAGAGAGAACATGCATTGGCTCCCTAGCGATAGCCAACTAATTAAAACAAGAGATCAATAAATAAAAGTAGTTAAGATGCATATGTCAATGGATGAAACTGTTCGATTAGAAAATGGGTAACTAGTATGAATAGAGGAATTCAAATCAATAAAATTCTATTGGCCATCATATCACGACTTAGCTCAGTCACTAAAGCAAGTATGCTGCATGGATTTAATGCAATAAATAATTAGTTATAAATGTTGATCAAATGAGAAAGAGTGACCATCCAGTCAAAATTTTCACATATTTTGATATCTCAACACAAAATTTCATCATTTGGCATGAATTTCCCAAGATAGTTTTTGATAAAAAATATTCCAATTCAAATTAAAAATGATCTGAAGCTTCGATTTTAGTAAGCTTATAGTCAAATTGACCATCTTGATAAAACAAACTCAACGATACCAAAATCGGTCCAATCCGACTTCAATCAAGCATGAATCAAGACATTAAATCATATTTGGTGGTTTTGGGTGGCTAGATAGAGGATCAAATGAGCTCCAAATTTGATGTACCTATAGTAAAATCTAGCATCTCGATGAGAGGAATCCGAATGTTGACCTAATATGACATATGTGGCAAATTACAACTATAACACTCTACTACAACCTATGTGGCCAACTACTGCCATTATAGACTCACACTACGACCTTTGTAATCAGCTATTATCATTGCAGCTTCCACTATAGGGTATGTGATCAACTGTTGCTATTGCAGCCTCCCACCATAGTCTATATGGGCAACTGTTATCATTGCAACCTTTCACTTTAATCTATATGACCAATTTTTGTCATTGTATCCTCCCACTATAACCTTTGTGACGAACAACTATAATTTCAGCCTTCCACTATGACCTATGTGATCAACTACTGTAATGACAACTTTCAACTATAACTTTTGTAGTCAACTGATGTCATTGTCGCCTTCTACTATGGCCTATATGTTTAACTGCTGTCATTGTAGTTTTCCACTATGAAGATCTCTCTAGTCAACTGACACTATTGTAGCTTCCAGCCATAGCTTATGTGACCAACTACAACTTATCTAGTTAACTTCAACTACAATTTTCAACTATGGTCAATATGACCAACTGACGCTATCACAACCATTGACTCCAGCCTTTCTAACAAACTACTACATTCATAGCAATTGACAGCGACTTTTTTATATACCTAATAATACAAGAATTTGACACAACTACTAAGATTTAAATACCCGGCGCAACGGCGCCAAAAACTTGATGTAACTTTTAATATGCAAGAATTTATGAACCCAGATTTATATATTTATAATGATTTGTAAAGTCACAATTTCAAACGCAAGTATACGTATCGCTCAAGTAAGACAAGGCTCTAGTGGAGTCCCGTTTATCGATCCCACAGGGAAGCGAGATAAGAGGTCCTTAGTCAAATTCTAATCTACTACTATTAGTCATTAGTTTGGAAGTGCGATTTAAGAGGTTTTATTAGCAGATACTCCTAAATGTAAGTCTTAAGTTCAACACAACTAATAACTACTCCTAAATGCAAATATTAATTCTAAAGATAACCCTTTTTGGATGAATTGGTTTGGGGAATTTTGAGATATTAAAAACTACTATTCTTATATAATGAATTGGATAAAGTAAAGAAATGAGATACATTAAGTATTGTATGTGCCAAATGGGAGCAATCCTATTCTTTACCCTTTGGTCCAGACATAAAGAACATTGACTAATCCTATGCTTGTTTACTGAATCCGTGGCTAGGCTGGGAGGATACCGACTCTCACTTCGGAGCTCCCACGTTCCCCTCGCCTGAGGGCTAACATCTCCGCTTCAGTACTCAAACAATATGACCGAATTGGGGATTTTAGTCTCTCACCCTAAAATCTCCAATTCTACGCCCATCAGAGTATATTTCCCTATTTATTTCCATTTAACTCCCATGAACACCATAGAATTTGAATGTGGTTCCACTTTGTTGAGAATTACACCGCCCTTTCATATCAATGAAATTACAACAAATTTTAACACTACAACGGGACCTTGTTATAATGTAAATGAAGTGCAAGTAAAAATCAACACATTTATAATTAAATATTCTTCTAACAAACATCCCAAAATCCTAAACATGAATTCTACTTATTACAAAAGAAAAATAAAATGAAAACAACCGCATAATCTTCTCATACCATTATTTCCAAACAAGAAGAGAGAGTAAGAGAAACCCATCACAAAGCACGAAGAAAACACAACGGAAACTTCATTTAACCAAAGCAAATCCACTAGATAAGTGTTTACAAAAATTAAAAGATAATGAGAAACACAATACTTAGCTTTTTCCCTTTGAAAGAAAGACGAATATCTCTCCCACAAAGTCTCCCGCCGATCCATGCAATAATAGAACATCTCCTTACAAATTCTCTTAAAATCTCATCTCCAATCTCTCCAAAAGGGTAGAAATCTACATTTCTATTCTTATTCTAAAAACCCTAAACTTTCTCCACACTTTTCCTAACATTCATCTCACAAAAAACCCCTTTTTTCTAACCTAAATTCTTTCTTTTAAAGTGTGGGGACGAAGTTTGAAGAGTTGCCACAAGAGTCATTTCAAAAAGCGTCCAAATACGTTGAATTTCGGCCCATAATCGCCAAAAGTCGGTACATAGTCGTTTCGGGCGCCGTTTGCGGGCTCGAGGGCGCTGTCGGCGAGCTTTTCTGTCATTTTTTGGTCTTCTCGGGTAAATCTCGCCGTCGGTGCCGTTTTGGGCGCCGTCGGCGAGCAGAGTGCGCAGCTCCACCGTTTGGCTCCGTTTCACCCCATTTCAGTTGCGTTGTGTTCCTAACAGAAAGTCCTACAAAATAAGCATGAAAACAACCTTCCTTTAAAGTGTAATCTCATTTAAAAATATGCAAGAAGTGTAAAAGAGATTAAACATTGAAAGACTTATCGAAAGGTGACAGGGCAAAATTTGATTTCTTGCTCGTTTTTGTTCCAAATTACTTTTTGTTCCAAATAACACCGTTTTTGTATTCTTTTGCTCCAATGATCATAATTCATCATACCTGCAACAAAACATAAAAAATACCCTTCTTTAAAGTGCAATGTTCTAAAAAACAGTGTAAAATAGATATGAAAATCTCAATATATTTTTCTTTGGTGAGCAATCAACAACGGTATTTGCCGCCTAATATTTTATTATCACCCATAACTACATTTTTTTTAACCTAATGTTGACTTTTAAATATGGATGAATATTGTACATCTGTGATTAACATTGTAACTTCATCTTCCAGAATTTTCAAGAAGAGCGAACCTATATACTTTTAATTTTATAGTAGATTTGTTTAAATTATCTGGGCCTCATGGATTTTTTCTTTTTCAGGATTTTTATTCATAAAAATTCCTAGTGTTTCCTCCCACTTTTTTTCTTATCTTTATTTGTGTTGAATCTTTGTGCAACACAAAAACATTAAATTATTACTCTGCAGCCGTAAATCATCTAACAAACAACAATTTTGTAACATATCGCATAATATAGCGGGCAATAATTATTAAGCTTTGTATGAATTTTTTCCTAACTAATTAAAACCTAAATTTGTGGCATATTTGCTTTTCAATTATCTATAATGCAGTTTGATAATATTTTATCCTATTGTTAACAAATTATCAATGAAAAAACAAGAGTTAAGAAGTAATAAAAATTTATTGTAGGAGTGCATGATAAATGATCAAAAGAGAGATTCTTGCGTAAAAAAATACAAAATATTTATATTATAACTACAAAAAGAATGAAATTTCGATTATTTTTCATCATAAGATGAAATTGCATTGTCTAATAATTCGGATCAAATGTAATTTTATTTTGATTATTAACCTTGCACTTCTAAAATGAATTATTGTAAACAAAAACTGTTGATCCAGATTAAATCGTCCAAATCATCAATTTGAGTGGGTTTTCTTTACTTTTTTTCCCATCAATTTGAGTGATTTGATGAATAATGTTGAAATAAACCATCAATATTATAAAATTTGAAGCCTTATTTTATATTGGGTTGAGGCAGTAATAGTTTGTGGGCCAAAATATGAATTGAACTAGCCCTTCAAAGTGAAGTTAAATTAGACTTGAGCAAAAATTATATTAAATTTGTTTGATATAATTAAAAAAAATAAAATTGCTTACTAGTTATATTAAGATGATAAGAATTGGACTCCTTTAAATATAGAAGTTGATATGGTAATAAATTTAAATAAATGGTCATGTTTAGGGGTGTCAAACATTGACTCGACACGCCAACACGACCCAAACTCGACCCGAAAAATCCTGGTTAGGGCTCACCCGAATTTTATTCGGGTCCGGTTCGGGCAAGAGAATACGAACCATTTACTATTCGGGTTGGGTTTGGGTTGAACCCAAATCCTAAACATGACCCAAATAAGCATGAATGCTCTGGTCATGTTCGGGTTGGTGGGTCTAGCTCATGTTTAGATCTTATTATTCGAGTCAGGTTTGGTTTTACTCTATTTAGGATTCAAGTCAAATCATTTTTTGGTCGGGCCCAAATTCGACCCGCTGACCCAAATTAATACCCCTAGTCATATACACCAAAAAAATAGGAAATTACCTCATATAGAAAAAAAAGAACTGAGATGATAACATAAAAGAAGTAGTTTTCTTAAAATAGATTAAGCCAAAAATACAATAAGTTAATGTTTGATGAAAGGATAATCATGCATAACAAATTCAAAACTCCCCTATAAAAAATCAGCTATTAGCTAAAAATGGATTGCATTTCCCATTCCCAAATGCAGAACATAACACCTATTAAAACACCTTCAATATCAAAACTTTATTTCAAAAATTTTATTCCACTCATGAAAATAACATTGATCCTTCGCAAATCAAACATAATAATCACCATGTTGCACACACCCATACATAACATTAACCAAGCTAAAAAAACATACAAGATTTATTATAACTAATCAAACTGCCTAAGGATTACTCAGTAACATCCATCAACCTACAAATCTCAATTAGCATAGATCTTCATCTTCAATCCACCGCCGCAATGGTTATATTTGCTGCAGATGAAGTAGTTGTAGCCTCTTTTGAGTTTGATAGGATCTCTCCCAGTGTCGTAGATCTTGGAACCACTTGCCACATTGCAATTTTCGAAGTCTTGTCGTCTTTTCAGCACAACCACATTGTGCTCAGCGGTATTGTATTTGAATTCTATTAGTTAACCAATATCATGCAATTTTAAGCTACCGATGGTGCAAATCTTAACAAAAAAAAAAAAAAAAAAAAAAAACTAAAAATTGAAAAGTTTAGAACTCACCAAGAATATCTCCAGCATTAAACGTCTTGCCTTTGGCCCAATTTGTGATAACATTTAAGTCCCATCCATTGTCGTCACCAACAGTATATTTGCGGTGGCCGACACTGAGATTAATGTTGCTAAAGATTAATGCAAACACCATCACTATACTAATAAATATAGCTCGCCTTAGGGCCATGTGTGGAGATTTGCACGACACCGGGTATTTGGGTGAGGATTTGAGAAGAAATGAGAGATTGATAAAAAAAGAATAGCTTATGAAGTCCTTAAATAGGTAGGATAAGCAGACGTATTCTCAAGTCAAAGTTCAAAGAAATTGGATATTACAGATACGGCAAAAAAAGGCGATGCTTTTAAAATCTAATAATGCTGAATGCGAGTCAGATCTCTCACCTTCAAACAAGAAATAGCTGTGTGTGTTTCGGTAGAGTGCAAATGGAAATTTTATGCGGCGTTGTAAGGAAAAGCCAAACAATACGTTTTTTTGGTGAGCTAGTAATTAACGCCTTAATTTTGGAGTGTTCTTCGTTAGCTTAATTAATTTCACTATAGAATTGTTAGGCCACGCCGGCAGAGAGAGCTTTTAGCAAAATGTCATCACCTCAATCATTATTTTTGTAATGACGTTCCATTTAAGGTATTTGTTCCCTTCGGCTTCATAATTTCAGCAACTACCCATTAGTGGCCACTGCTCGCCCATTAGCGGGAAGGGAGCGTTGCTCAAATTTGAAGCACTCTTTGCTATTATATATATATATATATATCACAACCAATGTTTATTTACATAATTAACACCTAACTTTTTATACACACGCGCACACACACATGATACATAAAAAATGTTCCAATTTGAATCTCTTAGCATGACTACCCAAAGCCAGGACGACCCGAAGCCAGGACAATCTGAAGCCAGGCCGACTCGAGTCCAAGACTACTTGAAGCCTGGATGACCTGATGCCTTGACGACCCTAGCTTGGATTACCCAAAGCCTGAACAGCTCAAAGTCAAGAAGACACGAAGCCTGGACGACAAAATATTGTCAAGCTGAAGGCTTACACATGTAAAATACCTGAATTAACTTGTACACTCATTAAAGCCAGGCTAGAAATGTTACATTTTCATACTATAACCCATCCTCTATAAATAGAAGATCATTTCATGTAAGAGTGATTTTTTTTTTTTTTTTTTAATTTTGTTGTCTACATTCCCCCACGTATAAAAAATAATTTTTTATATAAAACTGAAAAGATCTTTTTCTTAGGAGGGGCAAGCCACTCCTCTCTCCCTCCCCCTCTCTCTTTTTTCTAATGCTCTTTCTTTTATGATGTGATTCGCGGGCAAATCTAGATTCAACAATTTAAAAGATGCAATGAGCGTACTTCATGCGACAAATAAGAAGAGTAGTAGCATAAGGAGAAGAATTGAGAATTATGTTGGACTAGGACAAGTCCCAATCGACATAGTCTGGATGGCTAGCGGCATGGACTACCCTCGGTCAGAACTACCAATAGTCTGGAAGACCTGCAGTTTAGAAGACTAGCAACCGAGACGACTACCAACTTGAGCGACCAGTAGTCTAAACGACCTGCAACAATAAAAATGCAATTTCATTCATCCTTTTATATTTCATTCATGCAAAAGATAAGTACAAGTTTTCTATTTATGTGCACAATCCAAGGTCTTACCGCACTCGGGGAATCTAGAAAGTTTTTTACAATAGTTGGTCAAAATCCAACAAAAACTCGGGGAACTCGAGGAGTTCATGTACTATAGATTTTTTTTTTTCAACTTATGCTACAGGTTTCTCACCGTTTTTGCGGCGGCTTCAAACTTATTTGTAGATAACACCGACGGCTAGCCAATGAACATTTTTACTGACGCCTAACTACACATAACCGACAGCTAATGTGTGTCACACAAAAATAACGAACGCAACACTTTTTCGAGAGTTAATCCATCGATTATAAAAAAAATAATGTTTAATCGATGGTTTTACCTGCGTCAAACAACCGACATGTGTGACACTTTTTCGATAGTTAATTGTTGGTTATAAAAGACGAAGCATAACCGACTGTTTTGTCTGCTTAAAAAAACCGACGCGTGCAACATTTCTGGCGTGTATGCCGTCACTGTTATCGGTGGAGGAACCGTCCATTATACGAACCGATAACAATCGATGACTCAAATTTTATCGAAAAAAGCTACGATATTAAGTCATCAGATAACCATTAATATGTTGTGAAATTAAGGCCGAATAAAACACAGAAATCAACACAAACCAGAAGAAGAACACAGAGATTTAACGAGGTTCGACAAAGAATTGCCCACGTCCTCGGGAGCGAGCGACGGTTTCATTATTTCAGAGAAGTTTCAATACATCCCATAGGGTGACACATATATATACACATATACAAACCCTTAGATAAAATTACAATCACGCCCTCACTCCTCCCAACTCCCTTTATTCCAAGAGACACTCCTTTTCACCAAGAGACACACCTCTTCACCAAGAAACTCCAACTCCCTAGATATGAGCCATACCTAACAATTCTCCACCTTGGCGAATATCCAGCACCTTAGGAGATATGCATCACCTGGTATATGTGCCTACCAAACAAATCTCCACCTTAGTGAATATTCAACCCCTTTAGAAGAAAATCTCTACCTTACGAATATCCAATCCTTTAGGAGAAAAAAAATCTCCACCTTGCGAATATCCTGCTCCTTAGGAGAAAAATCTCATGGAGTCTCTTTATACCAAAGTGGGTTGGACAACCAAACCATCTAACCTGGCTTGGTCAAAGTTCCTGTTGCATTTTCACCATATGATTCAACAGAGCGATCTCCCCCTGCAACTGTACTCCCTATCAGTTTATAGATGTTACCTACAGTGATCTTCCCTTTCATCAAAGTCAGTGCATCCTTAACAATTCTGATGATTTCCCTATCCTCATCTGCCTTAGGAATGAAACCATTTCTATGTAGAGTGCCCAAGGAAATCAAATTCTTCTTCAACTCTGGAACATGTCTGACATCACATAATGTTCTAACAGTATCATCATACATCTTAATTTTGACTTTACCAATACCAGCAATATTGCATCGTCTATTATCACCCAAATAGACCGAACCAGAATCATATAACCTGTATGTATGAAGTATGAAGTAAACAACTCCCTGTTAGGTGTTATGTGATAAGAACATCCTGAATCAAGAATCCTTCCATCCTTTAACTGAGTTGTTGTAACTGAAAGTGCATCACCATCACTGTAATTTGTAATTTCACTCAGCACCATATTCACAGCCCTGGAAAATACATCACGAGTCTTCTTCTTGAGCATTGGACAATCTCTTTTCATTTTCATATGTCTACAATCTCTTTTCATATGTCTCTGTTCCTTGCACTTAAAGCAATGAATCTTCTTGCCTTTAGGCTTTGACCTGGAACTTTACCTTCCAGAATTCTCCTTCTCCTCCTTAGTTTCACGATCCTGATTACACTTAGCATATAAACAATTATCATGAGAGTTTTCCTCTGCATTCTGCTTCCGCTGGTTGTGAGCCTATAATGCTGCAGTAATCTCATCAATTTTAATTGTTTCTTTCCCATATGTAAGAGTAGTCACAAGATGTTCATAAGACGTAAGCAATGAACACAAAAGAATCATTGCTCGGTCTTCATCCTCAATATTCACATCAAGCCGTGGCAGATCCGTGATTATTTGATTGAAGACATTCAAGTGCTGAACCAAATCAGTGTCTGCCTGCATCTTCAACCCATACAATCTTTGCTTCAGATACAATTTATTTGTCAAAGATTTGGACATAAATTGAGATTCCAATTTCTTCCATACTTCTCCTGGAGATTTCAGATTCATAACATGATACATAATCTCATCTG